CACACAAGCAGGGGGAAGGGCAGAGGAAGGAAGACTCCCTGCCAAGCAGAGAGCCCGATGGGGGACTTGATCCCAGGACCCTGAGACCAAGACCTGAGACAAAGACAGACACTTAACCGACTGAGCCACCCAGGCGCCCCACCTAAGTGACCCTTAAAAAAAAAAATGGTGCTGCCACAAGCAAGATGTTTACAATGAAACCCAGCTTTCTAAAACTGCTAAGGTAAGCTTCTAAAGGGACCTAATGTGAATATACATGCAAGTTAAAATGTATTCATGACAGATTGTCTTGCTATAAATCACAGTATCTTCCTGATTTTTAAAAAACTTAGCATTTTTTTATCCCAATTGTGGGAATTAGTATTAGGTGACAAGCTCTCAACATACCCATTAAAAATTTTGTACACATATTTCTTTTGTGTTTACACAATAAATGCCTAAATGGTGAAGAAGATTCTTCCCTCTTTATATTTTAAATTTACTTAACATTAAGTAGATCAAACTGGAGAAAATATTAAAAATTTTAAGTGGGTATCCCTGTCACTTAAATGTTTAGCTCACATCTGGAGAAAATAAAAAATTATTAATCACAACAAAGTTGTTTTTAGTGGTGAACATAATAAAAATCACAAAGTTACAAATCAGAATAAATTTGAAATCAGTGTAGGGGCGCCTGGGTGGCTCAGTCATTAAGCGTCTGCCTGCGGCTCAGGTCGTGATCCTGGAGTCCTGGGATCGAGCCCCGCATCGGGCTCCCAGCTCTGCGGGAAGCCTGCTTCTCCCTCTCCCACTCCCCCTGCTTGTGTTCCCTCTCTCGCTGTTGTCTCTCTCTGTCAAATAAATAAATAAAATCTTAAAAAAAAAAAAAATTTGAAACAGTGTTAAGGGGCACCTGGGTGGCTCAGTCGGTTAAGGGTCTGACTCTTGATTTCAGCTCAGGTCATGATCTCGAGGTCATGATCTCAGGGTCCTGGGATCGAGACCCCCCCTACCCCGTTCTCAGTGGGGAGTCTGCCTGTCTCCTGCCTGTGCTCTTTCTCTAAAATAAACAAATCTTAAAAAAAAAAAAAAACACACTGTTAAACCCTCAAAAGTAATCTTAACTCAAATGCAATATACTGTAACTCACATACATTGTCCCAAAGCACTTAGACACTTTCTTCTGCCACACTCCCCTTGCTTCAGTAACTGTTACCTGGCAAGTGTCTAGTACATAGTAGATTCCATAAATAACAATGTTTCATTAATGAACTCAAGGTATTAAAACATACTGTACCTATCATAAGAAAACACAATACTTTAATCTTACAAAACAGTAATTATGGAGTAACGACGACAAAGGCATTTAAAACAAAACTAGTTAATCTACTATAAATACTCAGTTTACAAAATAAATAAAACACCACACAAGTCTTCATCAATACACATCTTTTTAACATAACGGGATCTGCTAGACTTCTCTCTTCTCTGAATAGATGAGCCATATGCCTTTAAAATGTGGATTTAACAGTATTCCATTACCTTGTAATTTCTTTAATTTCATGTAAAGCTAGGCAAATATTTAGCCTTTTAGCTATCGAATAGAAAATATAATCAAAAAGTACAATGAAAGATTAAATGTCTAAATATTTACAAGTTCCACATATTTACCTCAATTTTGCAAATCTAAGCATCTAACAATTTGTTAAATGTCCCTACCAGTAATGAACTACAAAAATATTTTTTAACATCCAAGTAAATATACATACTATCTGCACTTGTACATAACTTGTACATTAAGTATTATATAGCACTTTCACAATACAACTAAATAACTTTTTAAGAATTTTCTGAGTGGAAAATTATTAACAGGCACACATATGTGCAATGAGATCTTTCCTTAAGGCAGTACAATATGTCTAAAATACTACGGCTAAGACTTGCTTATTCAAAAAAAGCCATACTCTTGGGTATTTAGACTTGATTTTTATCTCCCTCCCATTAAACTTCATTTCTATCACTTTACTTCCTATCACAGGAATTCTCAAACTTTTATGTTCTACAGAGCACATTCTCTCACAACGCTGCTAGCTGGTAAGTGTGTGTTGGGATGGGGGTGTGCTAGGAGGTGGTGGGGCCTTCCATAATTTAAAGGAAGACTGCTGTGCTTTTAAGATGATCACTCATAGGATTTCTAACAGTGGAACAGCCTATGTGAAGAACTTTGCACAATGGCTAAGACTTGGTGAACATTCTCTATTTGGTACATAGTATCATGGTACTCATTTATGTTACAAACTTCTGAATACCAAAACATTTCAAAAATCAAGACCAAAGGACAGACCACTGATGAAACAGAGAACTTTCAGATCACTACTCATCTCCACAAAATCACTGCACCAAAGCAGATTTAAGTTGTTTTGAAATTTTGACAATGCCACTGCAAAAAAGTAACTCAAAGCTGTTGTGCAAGAAATACAGGTAGAAATTAAACTCAAATCCGTTATTTTTGTCAAAATTCCTAGAGAAAATATTGGTGAGGGATTATGAATTCCACAATGATCAAATCAAGAGGTAACAAGCAGTGATTCTTTATTCAGAAAGTCTTACTGCTACAAATGAATACAAAACATATAACCTGAAGCAGTTGCAGACAGGGTGACAGATGTGGGAAAAGAGAAAATGATTCACTGATTACCAATGGTTCAAATAAGAACTCTTACACTATGTGCTTCAGTTACCCAGACCCTTCATCAAAGATACAGAAGTCATGATGGGTGGGTGTTGGGCACCGGGGGAGGGGGGCAGGGAGTCAGTGAGTATGGAGTTTAAGTCTTACAAAAGGAAAAGAATTCTGGAGATGGATGGTGATGCTCTCTGCACAACAGCGTGAATTTATTTAATACCACTAGACTATACACTTTAAAATTTTCATTTTGATACATGTATTTTACCAATAAATAAAGAGAATAAATGCAAAAAAAGTAATGACAAAAAGATCCTTAAAAATTGCTTCAAGTTAGTGAGCCCTGAGGAATATAACAAATTCTTATTTTCCAACTCTGGGATAACTAAAGTGAACACATGGAGGGATTCAGAGGTATGCTCCAACACACACAAATTAGTAACCAAGGCACACATGAGCATGCTATGCTGCAATTTCAGAGGTCCATTCCTTTCCACACCCGTTCCAATTATCAACCCAAACTGAATTTGATTCAACTGACTTGAATTAGTCTAATAGTGATTCATGCATCCATAGCCCTATGAAGTTGGTACAGTTATTATCCCTCTTGTTTTCCAGATGGGGAAACTGAGACCAGGCATGGCGAGTTTAAGTAATTTGCCTGCTGTGACTTTGCTAGAAAATGACAGAGGAGAGATTCAGACCCGAGCCATCTGGCTTCAGTCATTTTGCTATATGTTACCTCTCTAATCTAAAGGACAAAAAAAAACCTAGTCACCCTTTTAAAAAAAAAAGTCAGTGTTAAGTACAAATTAAGGTCTTCAAACAGTGAAAAGTTTGTAACTATCGTAAGGCAAAGTCTGGCCATTAACTCAATTTTCCCCACAGATACAACCTCTTTGCTTATATGAGGTCTTCCAGGTAAAATTCAATTGAAGGATGGTAAAGGTAGGTAAAGAAAATAGGACAACCAGAGGTTTAGGTCTTGAAGCATTATTAGGACAGCAAGCCATACCTCTACTACAAATGTTAAAATTCTTAATTTCAATTAATGTCTCAAGTATGCCAAAGGGTAGGAGTGTCTCTATTACACACCATCTAAACCACTCCTAAAGGAAAAGGGGTAGAATTACTAAAGGGTTAGAGTTTACATAAACACGCGTCAATTCAAGGAAACATGCAAGAGGACATCCAAAGTACCGACATAACCGTGTCCCAGGAATATTCAGCATGCGCTCAGGAGCGAAAACTAACACGTTCTGTGATTTTTCTTTGTAAAGCAACTACTAGTTGTGCGCATTTAAACACCTTACAACCGGTAGCTGCAAAAATAAATTTCCCACTTTATAGAACGTAAAAGGGAGACTCAGTTTTCACATGAACAACATCTACGGGGAGGAAGTACCATGTAAAAGATAGAAATCCCGTTAACCACAGGTAGAGTTAAGCAAGGGAAAAAAATGTATTCGTTCTGCCATAATCACATCCCACACCTTCTGATCTTTGATTTTCTAGCCTAGCCATCTTATAAAGAAGAGTCCACCAAAATAATCCCTGTAACCAGCGCCAGTCAGCCAAAGACGTGGAAAATAACACCCCTAAACAAAAATTCATATTCTATATCCTTATTGTACAAATCAGAACTCAGAAAAAAAATCACAAAGGTGACCTTGTTTACCAGAAAGCATTCAAACTTTTTAAGTACAACCAAGACTATCTCCCTGGTAACTTCAAACCATTAATCAGAATCGATGACCCCAAAACCTGAAGAGGTTAGGCATCCCACAATTAGTAAGCTACAACTACTCCATTTCTTAGTTGAAAAGAAAACAAGTTAGCGTTTTACTTTCTGCCTTTCAACGAACAGATGATCGTTCAGCAGGCTTATAGGGGGATGCAGGGCACCGGAGGACCCAGGACCCAAACCTCGGGAAGCCGGACTGCCGCTCCAGCCCACAGGCGCCCGTTCCCCGCACAGGCCACCCGGCACCTGCTCGGCGCCCCCGGACCCCCCGGAGCCCACCCGCGCCCGGGCCCCGCGCGCACCGCCAACAGCATGCAGCCGGCCCGCACCCCCGCGCGAGCGGCCGTCCACGTGGAAGCTGGGGGCCCGGGCCGCCCCACGAGCCCCGCAGCCCCCGGCCCCGCTCCGCACGCCGCGCCGAGGCCCCGGGAGGACCTGTTGAGGCGCAGGCCTCGCCGCCGCGTAACCCGGCCCCAGGGGACGCGGAGCGGGCCTCGCCTGGGTGCTCGGGGGCCGCCCTGCCCGGCCGCGGCCGCCGCCCTCACACAACGAGCCGCGCCGGCGCCCGCACCCCCGCCCTCCCCCACTCACAGGGCCGCGTTCCGGCGGACCCCAACCCGCGGGCCCCAGGCCTGGGCGCGGGAAGGGCCGGCCCGGCGGGCGGCGCTCACGCGACTCCCCGGCTTCCGGCCCGAGCAGGCCCCGCGCGGTCCTCCTCCGCCGCCTCCTCCGGCCCGCCCCTCCCGGGCCCGCCGAGGGCGAGGGGGCGCGGGCGGGACCCCCGCGGGCCCCGCCGCCCCCGCCCGCCTACACAAAGCCCGGCGGGCCGCCCGGGGCTGCTCGCGGGAGGGCGGGCGGCGAGCGCACCGCACCGGCTGCCAGAGAGGCTGCAGCCGGGGCCAGGCTCCACAAAGCGACGGCGCCACCGTTCGGACGCCCCCGCCCGCGCCCCGCGCCCGCCGCGGCCGAGTCTCCCACCATTATGTTCCGGTCCTCGCCGCCGCCGCCGCCGCCGCCGCGCCCGGCCCTCCCCCTCCGCGCCCGGCCCCGCCGCCGCGCCGCCTCCTTCCCGCCGCCGCCGCCGCCTCCCGGGCCCAGGCCTGCGGGGCGCGCGGGGGGGTGCTCCCCGCCTCCCGGCCTCCGCGCCGCCTCCCCGCCTCCCGGCCCCGCCGCCGCCGCCGCCGCCCGCCGCCTTCCTCCCCGGCCCCCTCCCCGGGCTTCCCGGCGGCTCCGCCACGGCCCGGCCTCCGCTCCGGCTCCCCGCCGCCCGCCGCCCTCCCCGGCTCGGCGCTTCAGGGGCGCCATGTTTGCAAGCCTCGGCCGCGGAGAGCCGCGCGCGCCCGGTCGGGAAGGCGGCGGCGGCCGGGCGGGCCGGCGGGGGCGCGGGGGGCCCGGCGCCGCCCGCACTTACGGGGTCTCGGCGCCGCGCGGCAGGCCCGGGGGCCGGGGGCGGGAAGTTGGGCCGCCGCCGCCGCCGCCGCCGGGGAAAGTTTGCGTCCTGCGAGGCCGCGGCGCTGCTCACATGGCGGTGTGTGCGCGGGGCGGCCGCTCGCCCGGCCCGGCCTCCTGCACCTCCGCCCGCCCGCCCGCCCCCGGACTTTATTGTGTGGCCAGGCCGGCCGCGCCGCGGGCTCCGGGTGCGGGCCGCGGGGTGCGGGCCGCGGGCTCCGGCTCCCTCCCGGCCGGGCCGGCGCCGCGCACGCCCACACCCACACCCACCTTCCCTCCGTCCTGTCCTCGGCGCCTGTCTCCGAATTTGCTTCAGCATATTCTTACATATCCACACATGCACTTGATAGCGGCACACACGTGAAGGCTACGTACGTGCGAGCACGCGGGAGCCGGGAGCCGAGCGCACAAAGCTCCCGGCGCTCGCAGCATCGCCAGGCTCGGACTTGCGGGGCTGGGGGCGATGCGGGCCCACGTCTGCTCCGGGTGCGCTGCCGTGCGCCGGCCGAGCTGCCGGGGCCTGGGCGGGCGTCAGGGTGTGGGTGAGCAAAACCGGTAACCTGCTTTTGATGTCTCGTTAACTGGATCATCAAAAACACCTGCAGGGAGGTGCTAGATTCCCCGGGTTCATGCATGCACACACGGGACTGTCGGAAGAACAGGACCACCCATTATCAGTTGGGCAAAAACAGTGCAAATCTGTGTAAGGCAAAGCAGCTTCTCTTTTTCGTTCGTAGTTGTGCATCTAACAGAGAAGATCCTAATGTATGGTTTACTAAGTCTCAGAGATAAGCAGACTTGGATAGGTAGATGTCGCATATTTTCCCTAATGACCTTTCTTCACTGGGAGTTTGGAAGGAAGACCTGTCAACCAAAATTTCTTACTCTGGTTCTCCTTGGACATATGTACCTGCAAATCATTGGGAAGAGACGGTCCAGGAAATTTCGGGATTCTAATCCAACTCATCAATCTGCTTTCATCGCTGGCCTCTAAGACGAAGAATTTAGAAATGGGTAGTACTTGCGTAGGTGTTCTGTGATGCACCCACTCACAGCCCTGCTTCTGATACATCTCAGAGAGTTTTTGGTTAGATCAAGAGACGTCACGAAATAATTTTAACTCATTTTACACATAAATACATGTCATTAAAATCCAGCAGATGGGTTAAAGGGTGTCAGAAAAAAATCAAGCCATACCAGGTTTGAATGCTGGACCAGGAATTCTAGCAACAAACAGCTTTAAGTAAATCACTTTTTTGTTTAAAGTCATCTATAAAATAGAGGACTGCATGGTTCTGTGTATTTCGTGGAGGCTGCTCAAGTAAGACAAATTCATGTGGGTATAAAAGGAAGCTTACCTTTAAGGAAAGAAGTGACTGCATAACTCCACATCTTTCTCCAATTAAATTGTATAGGCATCATTTCAATGTTTGTACCCAGATACTATCTCTCATTCTATCTAATGTAAGTTAATTTATCCCCGGATTTCCTATTTGTTTTGCCTAGAATTTAGCCCTTGGTTCCATTTTGCCTCCAGAACAGTTTTATTTACCTCATTCCCTCAGAGGGGTGAATATGGAGGAGGGGATGTGGTCTGAGCCAATGGTTTGGGGCCAATGATTTGGGGTGGGGAGTTGGGGGAGGCCCAGAAGACCAAAATAGTTACTTCCATACAACTTAGGTTATACCATGATTTTAGCTGCCAGACTGCAAGGAGAGGGCGAGGGTATCAGAGAAAAGAGAAAAGGAAGAGCAGTGGGCCGTGAGGAGTGGTTTACATCAACCGGGACATGTTTCTAGTCCTAGAAACTTAGCACCACCCAACAAATGACCCACAACAGTCCTAATTCTTCCCAAACTCCACCAGCTTAACTAATACTTGACTTGATCAGCATATTACTTTTTCCAGCTTCTGCTTTAAGAAGTCTTAGTTAAATAGGAAAGACATGAATTATCCAACAAATTGATATAGAAAATATGTCTCTTTAAAAAATAAACCAGGGCACCTGGGTGGCTCAGATGGTTAAGCGTCTGCCTTTGGCTTGGGTCATGATCCCAGGGTACTGGGATGGAGCCCCGCATCAGGCTCCCTGCTCAAGGGAGGAGCCTGCTTCTCCCTCTCCCTCTGCCATTCTCTCCACTTGTGCTCTCTGACTCTATCTCTCTGTCAAATAAAGAAATAAATAAAATCTTTTAAAAATAAAAAAATAAATTCTATCCTTGCATTAAAAATAACCCAATGACTTAAATGTCATTGTAAAAACTAAAAATCATTTTCCAATAGACAGGAGAAAATATAGGTGGGTATTTGTAAGATTGAAGGCAGAGAAGACTATCCCAAGTCCTAAAGAAATGGTTTTTATCACAAAAGGTAAGAGTGATAAATTTGGCTGTATAAAAATACATGAATCCTGTAAGTCAAAACCAGATACAGACCTAGTTAAAAATACGCCCTTTGGTGTTACAACTTTGACCCTTTATAAAGAGGGTCTTCTAATACCCTCCCTCCTGCTTTGTTCACATATGAGGACCAATTCAGATTTCTTGGGACTAGTGGAGAGGGATAGTTCACAGCTAGTGCTGGGGACTCCTGTTGAGTCCTTGCCTCAGTGTGTTCCTGGTTTGCTAGTATGTAGCAAGAATGAGTTCACACAGGTGCTACTGAAATGCATTGCTTTTATTTATTTTGCCTTTACTATTATGTTTGATTTTACGTTTTTGTTTTGCATTAAAGATTGACTTGAGAGCATAGTCTTAAGTATATAATGCAGAATAACTATGAAAAAGCTTCAGGAATGCAAATAAACAGCACATTATAGAGAAATTGGTAAATAGAAAGTGTTACATTGTATTACCTTGTAACATAAACAAGGGAAGTAAACAGGTCCATTCCAATGTTTTTCATGAATAGGGACTCCAAAACACATAGCATTTCTTCTGATTTAAAGTAATAGCAACTGCATTTTCAACTTACAAGAATGTTTTTTCAATAGCAAATTACCCTTGTAAGTGGGAAGACTGTACAAGTAAAAGGAAAAAGCAAACTGGGAGAATGTGTATATACAAATGCATCTGCAATAAATGAGAGCTAAGGTAACAGTCCTCAGATACAAAAAGCAGGGTGCCTGGTGGCGCAGTCATTTGAGCCTCTGACTCTAGGTTTCAGCTCAGGTCATGGTCCGGGATTTGTGAGATCGGGTCCCATGTCGGGCTCTGTACTGGGTGCAGAGTCTGCTTGAGATTCTCTCTCTCCCTCTCCCTCTGCCCCTCCTGCTCATGTTCTCTCTCTTTCTCAAAAATAATAAAATAAATCTTTAAAAAATAGAGAAGCTACTTCATATCAATAAGATACATACCAACATTACCCCCCTCAAAAAAGGGACAAAAATCATCGGTAATTTATAAAAGAGGAAATGTAAACTATTAGCAAATGTTGACCAATAATCAAGTTGACAATAAAATGACAACACAACAGAACACTGCTTTTCTTCAAATGACAGAATTCTTCAGTGATTATATTATTGAGGGTGAGAGAAATGGACACTCATTCACTAATGAACTGACTCTGTATGAACTCTTGAAATAGCAAGCCTGAAAAAAATTCCTATCTTTGACCCCAAACGTCCACATTTAGAAACCTATCCTAAAGATTCTATTTGAGAAACAGGCAAAAATGTACAAACACATTGTTCATGTTCGCCCCTACTTAAAACCAATGATTTTTCTGCTGCATCTTGAATAAAATCAAACCCTGCTCTTGGGCATACAAGGCCCAGCATCTTCTGGCACCTACTTCACACCTAAATTTAAATTCATTATGCATTTCATTCCTGTCTCACTGACCTTTGTCCCACCTCAGAATGGTACAAAGTTTGTCCTCTCATTATAGAACATCTTTCTCCCATCTTCCTGGGGATAATCCTACTCCTCAGGTATCTATCTGTTCAACTGTCACTTCTTCCAAAAGGACCTTCCTGAGCCCCCAATCTAAATTGACCTCTTTATTTTCCCCATAACACAAAATTATTTTCAATGATATATTTACCCCAGTGTACATATAGTGTTTATAGGTTTAGTGTTTCTAGACAGATGAAAGGATTTGGTTTCTATAGAATACCCAGGCACTCAATAAATATGGCTAAATGGAAGATTTCCACAGATAAAATGGGTGATCTCACCGCACTTGACAGAGCCCTGTCAGGATATTACTGTTTTTGCTTTTAAATAACATACTTTACTGGTTTTGCTTTTAAATAACATACTAGTGGCTCTGCCGATCAAGTAGTGTAGTCCTTCTCAACACATTAATTAAAACTACATGTTAATTAGATCATGTTGTACTTAGGTTAATAGCTCAAGGGTTGTGAAATAAAGAATCTTGTACATGCAAGTGTCCCAAACTTT